CTCCGCTGAGTGCCCTGTTGCATGATTCTCACTCCAGACATCAGCCCTGCCTAAGGACCCTGCCTGCCCCACCCCCAGCTCTGGATCAATCTCTACAGAGTAAAGCTCACCCCATCCTCTGCCAGGGTAAACAAGGTGCGGGGTGGCTGAGGCCGGAGCCCTTGCTCTTTCCACACACTCTCACGTGCCCCGGTGAGCAGAACGACTCTGCCTCTGAAATCGCCCACCTGGGCAGGGTGCACCTGGAGAAGGGGCCAGGGGAGGGCCTGAGTGCCAGTCAGACTGGGTGTGGCTGTGGGGATGTGGAGCCAGGACATCTGTCCAGATGGCCTGAGTGACCAGGACCAGGTGATTCGGTGCCAGACAGCTGACAGAGAGTGGGAGAGCCTGGGGGAGGAAGCAGGCCTGACACAGGCTTCTCCCTCAATCCTCACTGCAGGCCCCAGCCAGGACCCCAGGTCTTCACAGGACCCTGCCAGCCTCCACGTGGAGCACCACGACTCTGCAGGAGTCCCCCAATTCCGGTCAACATCCTGGGTAAGGGGCTTGTAGCTGGAGAACTTTGACACCTGGGTGATTTCTAGGCAACACAGAGGGCTGAGGAACGTGGGCGTGACTGTCTTGGCCTAGGTCCCTCACTTATTTACCAACTCCACACCAAATTGTGGAAGTCCTACCAAGTGCCAGGTGTTCTTCTAGGGATACAGCCCTGGGCCACCTAGACACAATCCTGCTCTGACAATAGTTGGGAAATTCACACAGTGAAGAAGTTAACACATTCATCAATAGAAGTAATGCCAGTTCGTGATGAATGCTTGAAGGCAATAGTACACATGGGTCGGGGAGAGCATGTGTGGGAGAGTTTCGGGGTGGTGGGATTGCTATTTAATACACAATGATCAGGGAGGCCTGGCCGGTGAGAGGACATTTCTCTGGAGACCTGTAGGATTTGGGGAGCCATCACTCAGGTATCTACAGAAATCGGGCTCCAGAGACAGGGAAAAGCAAGTGCAAGTGTTTTGCAACGGGGGCCCTCAGGACCCAGCCCAGGTCAGCCAGGTGCTCTGGGGGCCCCTGGGCTCTCTTTTCTGCTCCCCCTTTACCCCAGGCCCTCGCCAGGGAGTCATCCCGTTGAAGACCAGGCCTCTAAGGGAGAGGAGAGGTGAGTGGGGTCATTCATTCCCTCCATCATGAACTATTGAATTTCAAGGCCAAGGTTTTGAAGGCACCGCACAGGTGCCAGAGCCTCCCCGGGACTAAAGCACACATTTCTGATCCCTCATGGGAAACACTATTCGTGGGGAGCAGACATCAGACAAAAAAACCCAGCACTGATTTCTGGTCCTCAGACAGGGTAACCCCAATGGGGATGGCTTACGTAGAACCCTTTTCCTGGCCCACGTCCTGCCTGCTCCCTGGGGTCTCCCTCCTGTCACTCCAATAGCCAGGCCCTCTCCGTGTCCGGAGTCCTGTCTCAAGGGCAATTGTTAGCCTAAGGGTCACAGGCGTGTCTGTTGTGTGGGGCTGCCCCGCCCATGGGACCTCCTGGGACTGATCTGTGTATGGACTGTTGTAGCCTCAGGACATGGGCACAGGGACAGAAGGCAAGTGGAGGGTACCAGCGCATCTCCCTGAGCATGTGGCTCACTGCCTGTCACCGTATCCCCCAGAGGTCCCTGCTCAGCAGGTTCTACTTCCGGCTCCTGGTCTTCCTGGAGGTGCCCCTGCTCCTGAGCATACTCAGTGCTGTCCTCTGAGTGAACAGGTCTCAGAGGGGCTCTGGGGGGAGGTGGCGTCATCTTGAATCCAGTAACACCAATTGCCCACTGATGACCCGTCTAGGAACACAACCCATCTGATGGTTAGGAATGGCCTTTTGACCAATACATCCAGCTATTTTCCGTATTTCTTTCCGAATATTCAGTAACCTTTTTGTAACTTTCTCTGCAGTGTATCATAGACACAAAGAATGTTCCCAATAAATGCTTACTCCTTAAACCTTGAATACTCTTCAACCCTTGGGTGCCCACCTCATAGCTTAAATAAGAAACATCGTTAATATTTCTGAAGTCCCAAGCTCCCCTCTGAGAAATCCAACTATGAATTTTACATTCATGTTCTCCTTGTTTACTTCATGGGTTTGCCATATATATGCATATACATTTTCAAACTATAAACATATTTTTTAGCAGTCCCGAAGTTTACTTTTATTTTTATTTTTTTCCAGCTTTATTTAGATATAACTGACATATAATATTTTGTGAGCTGAACATTTAGGGCATGTTGATTTGATGCACATATATTGTGAACTGATTACTACTGTGTGGTTAGCTAACATCGCCAGCAAGCCACATCACTACCATTTCTTTTTTGTGGTGAGAACATCTAATATCTACTCTCTTAGCAACTTTCAAGTGTATAATAGAATATTATTATCTGTAGTCACCATGCTATGCATTAGGTGTCCAGAATGTATTCATCTTATAATCGGAAGTTTGTATCATTTGGCCAATCCAATTAAAACATGGGCAGAGAGGGGTGCCTGGGTCGCTCAGTTGGTTAAGGGTCCAACTCATGATTTTCTCATCCAACATGAGGTCAAGTCCCATGTCAGGCTCCACATCAAGCTCCACACTGAGCTCATGGAGCCTCCTTAGGTTCTCTCCCTCTCCCTCTTCCCCTTCCCCTCCACTCCTGCTCTCTCACTCTCTCTCTCTCTTAAAAAAAAATGGGCAGAGGAACTGAGTAGACATTTTTCCAAAGAAGACATATAAATGGACAATAGGTACGTAAAAAAGTGCTCAACATCACTCATTGTCAAGGAAAGGTGAATCAAAACCACCATGAGACATCACCTCATACCTGTCAGAATGGCTATCACCAAAACGACAAGAGAGAGTAAGCACTGGTAAGAATGTGGAGGAATGGAAACCCGTGTGAAGGAGTTGGTGAGTGGGTGCTCAGTAAGCATTTGCAAGTAGAAGAACAGGGCACAGACCTGTACCCCAGCCATTACTCTTCAGAGCTTGAGCTGGCAAGGCTGCATGGGGATACCAGCAGGGACGCCCTGCCCCATCTGTGCAAAACAAGGTGGGCTCCAACCCCTTTGCACATCCCACACTCCCACGAGCCCTTCCGCTCCGAGCTCTCCCTTGATTATCTTTGGCCCACTTTGTGTGTCCTTTGCCACTTGCTATCAGCCAAGACAGGGAGCTCAACTACTTTCTCAATTTTGACACAAGGTTATTCACACAAAGGTGGTGCACATGGGGCAAACTTTCCCGAAGGATTGACATGAAGGAGAGAGGTTACATCTCAGAGTCAGGGAAAGGAAAAATTGAGATTCAAACAGCCTTATGCTTTTAAAACCCACTGGCCCTGTTCCTGAGTCTTGTTCCCAGCTGACTGCCATCCTAGCATCTCCACCTTCAATCAGACCAACTCTCGACAAAACAGAGACCTGATTAATAGTTCTCCCCATCACAGTTTGTGATGAAAACTTCCACATATTTTTGCTTTTAATCTATTTTTTAAAGATTTATTTATTTATTTATTTGAGAGAGAGTAGAGGGAGAGGGAGAGAGAGAATCCTCAAACAAACTCCCCACTGAGTGCCAAGCCCAAAACGGGGCTCGATCCCAGGACCCTGAGGTCGTGAAATGAGCCAAAACAAAGAGTCAGCCACCTAACCAACCAAGCCACTCAGGGACCCCTGACATATTTTTCAAAAAACGAGACCAATCATATTATAGGAATTGTTATTTTGTTGTTGTTATTGAGTTGTATGAGCTCTTTAATATTTGGGAATATTAACCCCTTATCTGATATATGATTTGCAAATATTTCCTCCCATTCTGTGGGTTATCTTTTTATTTTATTTTATTGATTGTTTCCATTGGCTGTGCACAAGTTTTTAATTTGATGCAGTCCTACTTACTAATTTTTGCTTTCATTGCTTGTGCTTTTGGTGTCACATCTAAAAATTACTGCCAAGACTAATGTCAAGGAGCTTTTCCCCTGTTTTCTCCTATAAGTGTCACAGTTTTGGGTCTTACATTTAAGTCCTAATTCATTTTAAGTTAATATTTGTGAACTCTCCAGTTTCATTCTTCTCCAGTTTTCCTTTCACCATTTCTTGAAGGGACTATACTTTCCCCCATTGGTTATTCTTGGCTCCCTTGTCAAATATTAGTTGGCTTTATATGTGGGAGCTTATGTGTAGGTTTTCAATTCTGGTCTATATGTTTATATTTTTTTTAAGTTTCATTTATTTAAGTCATCTCCACACCCAACATGGGGCTTGAACTCACAACCCCAAGATCAAGAGTCACATGCTCTTCCAACTGAGCCAGCCAGGCACCCCTCAATTCTGATCTATATGTTTTTATGCCAGTATGTTTTGATTTCAATTTGTAATATGATTTGCGTCTCTACAGGACTGAGCCCCCTTTTGAATGTGTCCCTAACCACAGGACCTCCAGGAAGACCTCCTCCCTCCATAGTCTGGCCTGGACACCAGGCCAGACACTCATCTGTTTCCCAAAGCTGTTCTTTAAGAATTTTAGCTACTGGGTTATAAATCAGGATGCTAATTAAATTATGTCAGGTTAAGGCTAGAATTTGCCTTTACTAATGAGGAAACCCAGTCCATCAGCCTTCTCTCTCTCAGCTTTCTGCTCTGGGCTTATTTTGTGCGACTCTTCATCAAGCATCTGAAGTTTTGCCCCGAACACTAATACAGATCCCAGGATTGTGTCCTCAGAGCTTCACACACTTTTTGTCACTTAATTCCCGTAAAAACTCTTTTGTTATTCCCATCACAACCCAGTTTACAGATATGCAAACTGAGGCTCATAAAAGTTCAGTAAGTTGTCTATGCTCACACAGCTTGTAAGTGGTGCTCAGGGTTAAAGCCCATGTCTGTCTGATCCTCCAGCCTGCACTTTTATGCCCTTGGTTATAACACCTGAACAAATGCATCTCCAAGTATGCCAAGCTTGCTCATGTGACACCTGAGTGGGAAGGAGGTGCTGTTCCCTGCTGCGGGGACCCATTGCTGTGGTAGAGAAACATTTCTGGAGTTGACACCCAGACTATTGTACCCCTTGGACCCAAAGCCTGGTAGGCCAGATGCCCCCTGCTCTGCCCTTGTTGCAGACACATACCCTGCCCCTCCTCATTCCACACAGTCCGGTTTCCTCTTTCCTATGTGGCGGCGACTTCTATGTCCTGTGCCCCAGCCCTTCCAAGAAATGACACTCAATTTGCTGAATAATTAAAAGCAGGAAATACTTTACAAAAGGAAGTGAGTGGGTCAGAAATTCAAAGGCAGTCCAAACAAAGTGCAAGCTTGGGCTCAGGCAGAGCTGTGAGAGTCCATCTGGGATCCGAGTGTGCTCTCCAGTTGTCGGCAGAGGGGCAAGGAGCCTGGGAGGCAGGACCATGTGGCTGTGGCTAGTTCTTCTCCTGCTCAGCCTCCCAGGTGAGTGCAGTGGGGGCTCGGGGGAGTTGGTTCCCCTGGGGCAGGGCAGGGGACCGAGAGCTATCCCAGGCAGAAGGGGAGGTGTCATATCTGGGGAAATGAGAGGTGGTTTTGTTAATTAATTCAGCAAAAGCACACTGGGTTCTTACTTTGTGCCAGGCATTCACCAGGTCCTGAGGACTTGAAGGGAAAAAAGGAACAGGGCCGGCCATTAGAAAGGGCACCCCAGACAGCTCAGTGGGTGAGATGTGCAGATAAAGAGCAACCCAATGGCAGGCATTGATGGAGGGGTGCTCAGAGGCCCAACCAGGTCTGGCTGAAGGAGATACAGAAGGCCATACAGACACCATCCATTGGATGAGCCTTGAAGAAATGGATCAGCCCTTCAAGCAGAGAAGGGAGAAGAGCATTCCAGGGAGAGAGGACTGCTTGACCAAGATATGGAGCCTTGAGAAAGGATGGTGCGTTCATGCACAGGGGCCCTCAGTGTGCAAGGGGCCTTGGGGCGACTGGTTGGCCGTGAGATTGGAAACGCACAAGATTGGACGCCATGCCCAGGAACCGAGGCTTTCAAAGAGAAAAGTGCTCAGGAACCCAGGAGGGAGATGGGAGGGGGTCATGTATCTTCTCTGTGGAAAGCTACTGCACACACCGAGAGGACATTAGGGTCAGTCCAAAAGTTTGCACAATGTATGCTGTGCATGTGGGTCACACACAGCCTTCTCTATGAGCCGGGAGACAGATCTTCTAGCAAAACAGACTGGTCCACAGGGGTTCCCAAAAAAGGGCATAGCCAGGGAGTTGGGAGACTGGAGTTCCAGTCCTGACGAGAGCGCATGACACGGGCAAGCCCCCTCCTTGTTCTAAGACCTCGATTTCTGATGTGAATGGAATGTCTCTGATGCCCTTCCTAGCTGTAATGTTGGGGGACCCTGCTATTCAGATCAGATGTAAATAGACAAGGGCTGTGGTCATTCTCAAATTGCCAAGGCCATTTCTGATTTTTATCAGTGACAGAAGTCCCGTGATGATACCTGTAGATGGGTGGGGCGGGCAGTGGCTTCTCTGTGACCACTACACCCCTTAGGCAGGACTCTGAACAGCCCAGAATTCCCAAAGGATAGGAGTCCAGAAAGTCTGCCTCTCCCCCTGGACTCTAGCTTTGCAGACCCCCATCTGCTCCCTCTCTTAACCCCAACATCCAGCTCACCCGGAGGCCAAGGGGAAGGGTGAACTGCCTGGGCTCCCACACACAACGCACTCATACAATGGAGTCAGACGCACACACCCACATGCAGTCATGCTCCCATTCACATCTGTGTGCTCACACACTCATATAGAGTTAGACACACACTCATGAGCACACGCACACTCACACACAGTGTCCCTTATATGCACACACTGACACAAAGAGTCTTCTCCCCTAGATGAAGGCTGAGACCCACAGCGGCTGTTCTGTGGCTTTGGGCAGGGTGGCTTGGCTGCAGAAACAAGACAGGGTGTCCCTCCCCCTCTGCAAGTTCACGAGGGAAGGGGGTGAAGTAGCCAGTGATGGGAGACAAGCCACCCCACTAACAGACTGCCCTTAGATGCTCTGGGGTTACTTCTGTGAAATGAAAAGGAGAGAAAGTGGATGGAGTGAAGTCGGAATGACCCAGCTTCCAGTAGGACGTTCCTGTCGGCTCTGTCACACAGTCCTGCAGCAGCCCTGAGGGGAAGGTAGGACACTGGCATCATGGGTGCTCAGTGAGTGTTTGCAAGTGGGGGAACAGGAGCACAGACCTGTACCCCAGCAATTACTCTTCGGCAGCTGAGCTGGCAAGGCTGCGTGGGGATACCAGCAGGGACGCCCTGCCCCATCTGTGCAAAACAAGGTGGGCTCCAACCCCTTTGCACATCCCACACCCCATGAGCCCCTCTGCTCTGAGCTCTCCCCTTGGTTGCCTTGCTATCAGCCAAGACAGGGAGCTCAACTGTTTTCTTGACTTTGACACAAGGTTATTCACACAAGGGTGGTGCACATGGGGCAAACTTTCCCGAAGGATTGACATGAAGGAGAGAGGTTACAATTTCAGAGTCAGGGAAAGGAAAAATTGAGATTCAAACAGCCTTATGCTTTTAAAACCCACTGGCCCTGTTCCTGAGTCTTGCTCCCAGCTGACTGCCATCCTAGCATCTCCACCTTCAATCAGACCAACTCTCGACAAAACACAGAGACCTGATTAATAGTTCTCCCCATCACAGTCTGTGTTTATGAAAACTTCCCACATATTTTTTCAAAAACAAGCCAAATCACATTATGAACGCTTTACTGACAGATTAAATTAGCAAAGTTGGGATTGATGAAACTTCTATTTTGAAGCATCAACATCTCTAATCCTGTTTCTGATTGTTGGAAAATACCATCTAACTGGCCCCCAGCTTTGGATCATAGCTGTGTTGTTGCTATTATTGTCTTAAGAAAGAAAACCACCCTTTCTGCCAACTCTTGTATTTGATTTTCATTGACATCAATTTCTGTCTCTTAGCAATCTTTTTCCTAATTGAGTCCTTTCAATTAGTAAAATTTTTTTCTTAGTTGTTTTTATCAGTTAATGATATTGTAAGCATTTACACATAATAGAAATGTATGATTTAGAAAGGGAAATTTCACCCCAAATCCCAGGTTCAGCAGTGACCGCTGTTAAGAGTTTACAACACTTAGTGCTCAATTTTTTCTATGCATGCACCACAGAAAAACCACAGAAATGGAATCTAAACACTCTGTTAGGCAACTTTTAAAAAACCTAACAGTAACGTATCTGGGACATCTTCCCTATTATTATTTGTGATTTGTCTTCTTCTTTTAATGTTGGTATGGGTGGACGGCAATTTATTAGCCTGATCTCCAGGTAATGGTGGTTGAATTTGCTTCCAGAGTCTATTGTGTGTTACATTAGCACCGCAATTAGCAGCCTTATACTTGTGTCCCCTGGTGTGGAAATTATAGTCCACGCCAGAATCAAAATTATTATGTCCAAGATCATGACAGCCAGCGCCTTTGCAAAAACAATCATAAAATTTATTGGTACCTTCCAGAATCCAGATACCATGCAAGACATGGGGACAGGGGCTGGGGAAGAGACAGAACACAAACCCAAAGTCTCTGCCCTTCAGGAAAGAGCGTCCTAGTAAGGGAGACAGAGAGAGAGACTGGTAGTAGTAACAAAATACCAGTGTGGCACTCAGGTTCCTATAGGGGTGTGGAGCAACGGGAGGAAGCAATTGTAGTTGGGAAAGGGAATAAGGTGGTCAGTAGGCAGGGTGGGCTCGGAGAAGGGTTTCCAGGTGGAAGGAAGGACATGAGCAGTGACATAGCGCCTGGGAAGGCTCATCAGGCTCAGAGGAAGAGAAAAGTGGGGGTGGGTTATAAGGTCCAGTGGAAAGCAGGGAGGAGCAGGAAATGGTGCTGGTCAGAGAACTTGGATCTAGAAGGGGAAAAAAAAAGAAGTTGAATGCCCAATGAAAGCATTTTAAATCATTCTGAGGCAGTGGGGAGTGGCTGCCGAAGAGATCCTGAAATCCTGCTCATGAAAAGTGCAGCTGAGGACAAGGTGGGGACAATTTCAGCACATAACTCCAGCAGTGACATGCAGAGGACATTGAAGAAAGGAGTGCGACAGGAGCTGGAGAAGCCTTTCTGGATTTGCTACGGCCATGATCCAGACACCAGATGAGCTCCTGACCTGGTGACAGGCTCTCACTGATATTCCAAAAGAGTATCTGCGGTTTGACACATACCCAAGTCTTACAACAACCTGCAAAGTGGAAAGTAGCATAGCCATTTTGCGAATAAAGAAGAAAGACCCAGGGAGGTGAAGTAGCTTACCCAAGATTTCCCAAGTGGTATGTGGTAGATGTGCCTTCTGTGTCCAAATTCACTCTCTTTCTGCTATTTCATGCTGTCATCATGAACCGTGACAGTAGGGGAGGGAAAAAGGAAATCATTTTGAGAAGTATTTTTGCGGTAGAGTAGACTAAATGACTAACCAATCAGTTGTAGAGGGAGAAGGGAAGGACGGGATCAATGGAGATACCAAGTTCTCTGTCAGGTGCGCTAGTAATGATGTTGGTTTGAAGAGAGTAGAGTTAGTTGTGCTGGTGGAATACTAAGTTTATTTCCAATGGCTGCTGTAACAAATGACCATAAACTTAGTGGCCTGAAATGACAAAATTTATTATCTTATGGTTCTGAAAGTCAGATGTCCAAAATGGTCTTACTGGCTAAGATCAAAGTGTAGACAAGATTGTATTCCCTTTGGAGGTTCTAGGGAAGAATCTGCTTTCTCACGCTTTTCAGCTTCCAGAGGCTGCCCACATTCCTTGGCTCATGATCTCTTTATCTGTCTTCCAAGCCAGCAATGTAGCATCTTCCACGCCAGCAACGTAGCATCTTCCACTCTCCCTTTGACTCTGACACTAACTCTTTTTTATCTTATATGAACCTTTCTGATGACATCAGACCCAACTAAATAACCCAGGATAATTGCCCCACCTCACACGTTCTTGGGATTACGATGTCAACATCTTTGGGGAGCATAATTCTACTGAGCACAAATACAAACCTCAAATGAACTAAAAGAGCATCAGGAAGAAGGTACGGGGTGTGAGGAGGTGCACCTTCCTGGTGCAACAGACCTGACTCCCACGGCCCCATGGAGACAATCCCCACCCCCCCGGCCTGACCCTGAGGCTCTGGGACTAAGAGAGTCAGGAGATGCTTCCACTGTGTTTCTCTGCTTCTCCCTGTTTGTTCAGTTCCATGTGATCAAGGCACAAGAGGTCATTGCCAAGGACAAAGAGTGTCTGTCCAGCCACATACAGTCAGCTTGACTGGAGTCAAACCCCAGAGCAGCACGATACCCTTTCCACTTGTGCTTGTCCCTAACCCATCCCACTCCCCCACAGACCTTTGCTAGTCCACCACGTGAGCCCTCCAAGGGAGAGAGGAAATACTGCAGCAGACCAAGTTCAGGGTGGATTTAGTCCTGCGACTATTGACTTTGGGGTAGAGATGTACAGTGTGTATTTGGAAAGAGTAGGCTGGAGCTAAGGAAAGAATGTGGGCCACAAACATGGATTTGGGGAACCATCAGCATGTTGGCAATAACCAAAATCAGAGGAAGGGAGAATCCCTCCATGAGGGTGTAATAAAGTGGGACAAAATGAGGACTGGAGCGGGACCCCTGGGCTCCCTCTGCAGTGCTCTGGGGCTGGTTCACACTGGTTTGCAAGAACTGACTCTTCTTAGCTGTGTGTCCAGTGACATTGCACTGACTGCCTGAGAGCAACAGGGGTGGGAATATTTACACTACAGAAACTGGAAAATGCTACAAGTGGAGATTTTCTTCCCAGAGGGCTAGTTTTTAAGTATTTACCAACATACCATTTTTGCACCAAGATTTAAAGAGGGAGGAAGAGACATCAGTAGAGGCCTCAGAGATGAGTAGTCAGAGAAGGAGGACAGTGGATGAGGAAAGAGTTTCAAAGCCAAGAAAGACAGTGTCGGAAAGTCAGGAGTGGTGGGGCGCCTGGGTGGCTCAGTCATTCAGCGACTGCCTTCGGCTCGGCTCAGGTCATGATCCCAGGGTCCTGGGATCGAGCCCCACGTCAGGCTCCCCGCTCCACGGGAAGCCTGCTTCCCCCTCTCCCACTCCCCCTGCTTGTGTTCCGTCTCTCGCTGTCAAATAAATAAAGTCTTTAAAAAAAAAAAAAAAGAAAGTCAGGAGTGGTGGCACTGGGCAGGACCAGGGAAGTGAGGACTGAAGAGGCCGGACATTATCACCGCGGGAGCTGATGGGGAAGCTGGACAGAGGAGGCGGATCTTTCGGGTCAGCTAGGAGGTGGCTGCAAAGGCCCGGACCCTGGCTCAGTCCCTGGACACCAACCTGGGGCCACTTGAGCCCATGGGGCTCCCAGGCCAAGCCTGGCTCAAGGTGGTAGGAGTTGTATCTTGGGATTCTGTTTTCCAGGCTGTTTCTCCATCCAAGGCCCAAGGTCCGTGAGGGGTCTAGAAGGGGGCTCGGTGAGCGTGCAGTGTAACTATACAGCAGAATGGGAGACTTATGAGAAGTGGTGGTGTCGCGGAGCAGACTGGACATCATGCCAGATCCTCGTTCAAACCAATGGATCAGAGCAAGTAATGAAGAGAGACCGTGTGTCCATCAGGGACAACCAGAGTCACCTCTTGTTCACGGTGACCATGGAGGATGTCCGGCGAGATGACACAGACACTTACTGGTGTGGGATTAGCAGACATGGACCCGACCTTGGGATATCTATCAAAGTGACCATTGACCCAGGTAAGAACTTTCTCATCATGCTCAGGACAGAAAGAGTGAGGGCTTCTGCTTCCCCTCCCCAAGGGCAGAAGGGAAATGGCTGAGTACCTGAGAACAGGGTCCCCATCACAGTCCCTGAGGTCACCTGATGTATCTGGCTGATGCACACAAGGCTGGCAAGTCTTGGGGTAGGGGTGGGGACGTGCACCATGCCTTTTTGCCCATGGCCCAGGCCAGCTCTCCTGGGGACCCACAACCCTGGCAGCCCCACAGTCTCTCATCAGAGGTATAGGTGGACCTTGGATGCCTTGGATCCCAGGGCATTGCTCCAGGAAGTGGTCACTGGTAGTCATACTCCAGACCCGTCACTACACAGAGAGGGGCAGGGGGGACACCTGGGGAAGCCCAAAGTGTCCCAGCACTGAACCCCAAGAACCTGGCCAACACAGAGTAGCTCTGGGCACTCGACAGTGCCTCTCCTCTCTGGGCCCCCAGCCGCCCTGCCCACTACTTTCTCTGGCAGCATAAGAACAAGCAAGGACAAACTGAGGGTTCTAGAGGGAAGGAGGGTAGGGGGATGGGTTAGCCTGGTGATGGGTATTAAAGAGGGCACATTCTGCATGGAGCACTGGGTGTTATGCACAAACAATGAATCATGGAACACTACATCAAAAACTAATGATGTAATATATGGTGATTAACATAACAATAAAAAATTAAAAAGAAAAAAAGAATGCTAATGGATAGAATGTGAAAGATGTAAAAAGACAGTATTTTTAATAAAATTTAGTTGCACTTAAAAAAAAAAAAGAACAAGCAAGGAATTAGAGGGACCCAAGAAGGAGCTCAAGTAACAGTGGATGCTGTAAGGAGAAAGGAAGGCCTTGATCATTATGCCAATATCAGGGACCCGTCTGGCTGTTCTGGGGTCTCCTCAGGCCCAGGACTCAACTAAAAAATAGGTCATGGACACTCAGTGCCAACCTGGTCTCAGGAATCCATGACCAAGTAGCCGACCACAAACTGTCTTCATAGTTTCTCATAAAGATGTTTAATTTATCACAACCATTGCTCACAACTGAACCAGAATGTGCCCTCGTATTCACCAGCCCTCTGGAGTCCTCCTCCTCTTCCTTATCACCCCAATACCTGGGCACCCCATTTCCAGAACCACATGTCCTTGAGCCCAGCTCAGGAACTGCTTGAGGACCAGCGATGTTTCCCCCCTTGCTAAAGTCCCACCTAGAGGGGTAAGTGGAGAGAAGTGGAAAGATGGATCTCTCTCCCCAGAAGCACCTCCCAGAGCAACAGTGCAGGCTCCTGTTTCCTTTTTATTTATTCTTGCCACACCCGAGTTGATGGAAAGTGACTAAGTGGTGGTTCAGAAAACTCAGCAGAGGGCACCTGGGCCGCTCAGTCAGTTAAGCATCTGCTTCTTGGTTTCAGCTCAGGTCATGATCTCAGGGTGGTAAGATAGAGCCCCGTGTCAGGCTCTGTGCTCAACGGGGAGCCTGCTTGAGATTCTCTCCCTCTCCCTCTGTCTTTCCACCTTCCTCTAAAATAAATAAACAAAATCTTAAAAAAAAAAAAAAAAGAAAAAGAAAACCCAGCAGAAAGGGAGAAGCCTGGGGACCATATCCAGCTTCCCAGTCCAGGGACAGGGTGGCTTCCCGGAGGGGGCAGGGGCAGGACCCTGGGAGCTGCCCACGAGCCCCGTCTGTCCCGATAACCTGTGGCCGACTCTGCCTGTGTCTAGTGGGCATGATCCTGAGCACCTGGGTGAGCCCGCTCTCTAGAACAACCACCAGCGGCCGTGCAGGGGCACCGTCCGACTCCTATATCAGGTGAGTGGTGCCTGTCCTTACCCTGCCCCTCCCTGGGGCCTCTCCTACTCTGTGTCTGCACCCTCATGGGACGCCAGAGCAGTCACAGCCAGGGTCAAGGCCCAAAGCCATCCCCCCCACCAACTCGCTCCTGCCTGTGTTGCCCCTCACCCCCCATCTCCCCATTCCACCCTCCCCAGGAAGCCACTCTGCAGAATCTTTCTCTATATTCAGTTGTCAACAAAAAAAGCCCTGATGACCTTGAGCTTGCCAAGGGGAGATAAGACAAAATCCCCACGGTGCGAGGCACTGGGTGCTGCGGGGCAGGAGCGTGGCTCAGTCGCCTGGAACTGGCATTTTCGGGGTGGCAAAGGCACACAGCCTGTCGCAGGCGACCCTAAGGTGCGGAGATGCACTTCAGGAAAGGGGAGCTGCAGGAGGTGCAATTAGAAAGGAAGGTGGGCCCAGAGCAAAGCAAAACCAACAAGGTGAAGTTCCTTCCGAGGAGCCGTCATGGTTGAGCCACTGAGCAGGTTCACGGGAGTCTTTGGAGTGGGGCTGCCAGGCCCAGGGTCACAGCTTTGTGGGGCTGGCCAATGCTCCCCCTTGTCAGGCGCTGGGAGTGAGGGAGCCCGGGGTGCCTAGGGCTCTGACGGCTCTGTCCCCTCTTGCAGGCACCACTACATTCTCCTGGTGTTCCTGAAGGTGCCCATCTTGCTCGCATTGGTCGGTGCTGTCCTTTGGTTGAAGGGGCCTCAGCAGAGACCGTCCATCTATATGAACTTGTCCTCTGATCTCGTCAGAGACACAGCCCCTTAGACGGACGGCTGAGCAGAATCTTCTGCCCCCGGACTCCATTTCCAGAGGAGACACAGGCCATGGAAGAAATGCCTCTGGGTCCTTGGGAGGCAGTGATGAGGCTGGGGTGCTGAAGGGCTGGCCGGGCACCCTCCCGGCTCTGCACAGCTCAGGGACACAACTTGGGGCCCTCTTGAGGTGTCATGGCTCCCTGGACTTGTTCCTACTCCTTCGGATAGCAAATGCCCCACCCTACCCAACGTGGGGTCGGGGCTCATGGTTGGAGCTGCTGGGGTGGGACCCAAGCCGTGTCCTCTCTGCTGGAAGAAGTTGGGGCATGGAGCGAGCAACCGAAGCACAGAGAGAAGCAATAGGGGTGCAGACAGAAACAGAGAGGTGGAAGCCTGCCCACGCCCTGGTCTCCTTCACTCCTGAGACCAGATCAGCCCGCTCTATGTCTGAGCTTCTGATCTATAAGGGTTTTTTCTTAAGCCAGTCAAGTTGGGCCTCAGAAACTACTTCAAGGTTGGGGAGGGCAGTCAGGAAAACCATCTGAGGGAAATGAGGTGGCCTCCCCTACATGATGATATTTTAATAATCTTCATAATTAATTTGTTTCAATAACCTTAATAATTAAAAATCTGATAAATGACATTTTTTTCATTTGTCCATTTGGGTGGACTCGGTCACATTGCGCCTTAGGGGCCATGGGTCCTTCCACCGAAGGGAGTGCCACCTCACGTGAGAAGGAATAGCCCCATTTGAGATGTGTCTACCCACATGCAAACACACACAAACACACCAGTTTGGAATGTTTCCCTTTGTTTGTCCCTGCATCTTTATTGAGCTATAATTGACAAATAAAACTGTATATATTTAGTGCAAATGTGATTTTTTTAAAGGGGTACAAAGTGATGATTTAACATATATACGCCTTGTGAAATGAACACCACAACCTACTTCATTAACACGCCCATCACTTTACATATTTATCTTTTTTTTTTTTTTGATGTGGGAAGAACACTTCAGATCTACCCTCTTAGCAAATTTCAAGTATACAACACAGTATTATTAACTATGGTCATCATACTATATGAACTATACTAAACCCAGAACCTAGCTTATAACTGAAAGTTTATGCCCTCTGAGCAACATCATCCCATTTTCCCCCATGCCCCAGCCCTTGGTTCTATGGGGAGTGTTTCCCTCTGAATGTCCTGGGAGGATGTGCCCACCCTGTTATTTGTCCTCATATGTAGGCCCTGGTTCTCAGCCTCAGGAGGTCATGGGAACGTGCCTCACCGGGGCATAAAGGAGACAGGAATCCCTATGCCTAGTGTGGTAGCCAGAACCTCCTCTCCCCATGGTGAAGCAAGAGTCCCCTCTCTTTGTCCTTCAGTCAATGAGAAACTTTCTCCCACTTTCACTTGGTGTAGGGCTCTGGTCAGTGGTGGGCCTGAAAATTCCACTGTGCTCAGAGAGGATAAACTTTGAGCCAGACTAAGAGTCTCTGAGTCACCCTGTTTGGGGACCAAGGTCCATAGCCCTCTCTGTGACTACTTCCCTGGATCCAGCCTCCCCAAGATGCAACCAGACTCGGGTGACAAGCAGCTCTTGGGGGGCAAAGCCAGAGCCCAGCAGCTTCACCAGCTGGCCCAAATGGGTGCAAGGTATTGGCAATTGTTTTTCCCACAGTGTCTTACTGTTGCTATTCAATGACCCCTATGTCTTTGGAGATTCTGTGGTTGGGTTGTTACTCTCATGGCATCATCAAAGAGAATGCACTGGAGTAGGCATCTGTAGTCTGTCCTGAACACCACCCCCACCACACACACACACACACACACACACACACTTCTGGAAACTGCCCCTTGGGTTCCCATGAAAATGGTGAAGCAAAACTTGCCTCTTACACCCACTGTCTGGGGTAGGGAGAAAGACAGAAATTGTAAGTTAGCCACTGGGGCAGGATAGCATTTTCCAGAAAATGTGTTTCCACTAGGAGCCTGGTGCCAAAGCCCCTGTGCCCATAAACAGCTCTAGACTGGAACAGCTCCTCACGTGCTCTCTCGAGCATACATCGTAGCCAGGAGTTAGTGGAGGCAGAGAAGTGGGGAGAGCAGGACCCAAATGCTCTTTTAAGAAGAAAGCATAGGGCGCCTGGGTGGCTCAGTTGGTTAAGCGACTGCCTTCGGCTCAGGTCATGATCCTGGAGTCCCAGGATCGAGTCCCGCATCAGACTCCCTGCTTGGCGGGGAGTCTGCTTCTCCTTCTGACCCTCCCCTCTCTCATGTGCTCTCTCTCTCATTCTCTCTCTCAAATAAATAAATAAAATCTTTAAAAAAAAAAAAAAGAAAGCATAACTTCTCCTTCCCTGTGAGTTCCTCCTTGTGGGTCCTTACTTCCTTTTTTTTCTTTTTTATGGAGTTCCCCCCCCCCCACTTCTGAGCAGCTTTGAAACCACAGAGGAAGTTCATCAAGAGCAGGGAGAAGCCGGTCGGGGTCAGGGGAAGCAGCAGCCCCTGCCCCTCCCCCACCCCGGGGAAGGACACCATGGTGGGAAGGGCCTCTACCACCACCTGGGACGTGGCGTTTGTTCTTCCTGATGCTAGATATGTCCTGAATGATGTTTTCTTACTAAATGAGGTTAAAGGAAGAAGTTTCCAGCAGCCTCCACCTATCCTCTGAAGTATCTCCCCCTACAGCTCACTGGTCTGCCTTCTTCCAGATCCTAGGTTTTCCAGATCCCCACGGCTGGTCTGCTTATGTCCCCCTGCTCCGCACCCGGGCTGTCTGGGAGTCAAGTCTCCACCCAGAATGAGGGTCCAGGTACAGCCCTGGCAGCTCTCCTGGGCTCCCCCTAAACCCATGCCGTGAAGGCTAACAGGGAAGAGGCCTGGGGTCTGGGCTCCCTCATCCTCTTGCTGGAAGGGCACCATCTGCTGCCCAGCATCATCTCCATCCCAGCTCCTAAATTGCTGGTCACCTTACTTTAAAACCTTTTCTGAGCTTAACCTCCTGCCCACCTCCTGCCAGCCCCAACTGGGTTCATGAATCACCCTTGAATCTGTGCAGACCCATGATTGGGGCCAACTCAACATGGCCAGGACAGGAAGTGTCCTGAGGGTGGAGGCCAGTCTCAGTCCCCAAGAGATGGGACCACTGTCCAGTGGGGAGCTGGGAGGATGACTTTTGGGGAATTAGGACCAAGGCTGCTGTTCCCATTGAAAGCATGGACTTGGGGCTAGGTCAGATCCTTACCCCTCCCTTATTCATCTGCCCATGCATTCCTTCAACAAATGTAACTAAAGTGCCTGTTAAGTCTGGGCACTGTTTTCAGGGCACATGGACTATTGTATGAATGAGGGGAGCCCCTTGCTGTCTCCTTCTCTACATTCGACTTGAAATGCAAGAGCCTGATCTCATATCAACTGCTCTCCTTTTATCACTGAAGAGAAAGGTTGCAACTGAGGAGGAAAATCATGGGTTCTCCTGTGGCAGCCACCATTGGACCTGATTTAAAAAGCCCAGTTTGGGATTAAAATAATAATAGGATACTGCTACACACATATTAGAATGGCCAAAATCCAGGGGTGGAAGGAAGGGGTAACTGGGTGATGGACATTAAGAAGGGCACATGATGTAATGAGCACTGGGTATCATATAAAACTGATGAATCACTGACCTCCACCTCTGAAACCAATAATACATTATATGTCAATTAATTGAATTTAAATTAAAAAAAAACATTAAAAAAAAGAATGGCCAAATTCTAAAACACTGACCACACTAAATGTTGGCAAGGATGTGGAGCATCAGGAATTCTCGTTCATTGCTGATGGGAATGCAAAATGGCACAGGCACTTTTAAGACAGTTTGGAAGTGTCTCACTAAACTCAGCATACTCTAACCATGTGACCCAGCAATCCTTGGTATTGACTCAAATCAACTGAAAACTTACGTCCACACAAAAGTCTGCACACAAATGTTTATAGCAGCTTTATTCATAATTGCCAAAACTTGGAAGCAACCAAGACATCTTTTAGTAGGTGAATGAACAATAAACTGTGGTCCATCCAGACAGTGGAATATTATTCAACACTAGAAATAAATGAACCATCAGGCCACAAAAAGACATGGAGGAACCATAAAGTTCTATTATTAAATGAAAGAAGGCAATCTGAAAAGGCTACATACTGTATGATTCTAACTATATGACATTCTGGAAAAGGCAAAACTATGGAGACAGTAAAGAGATCATGGTTGCCAGGGGTTAGAGGGAGAGAGGGATGAACAGGGGGAGCACCAGGACTTTTAGGCCAGTGTAACTACTCTGTAGGATGCTGTAATCATGGACGCACTTTGTCTAAGCTCATAGATTGTACAAAACCAAGAGTGAATCCTAATGTAAACTATGTTCTTGTGTAATAACGACGTGTTAATGCTGGCTCATCAACTGTATGTACCAAATGTACCATTCTGGAGCAGGAGGCTGATGGTTGGGAGGCTGGGCTGGGGCAGGGGCATGTGGAACTCTGTATTTCTGCTCAACTTTGCTGTGAATCTAAAGCTGATCTGAAAAATAAAGTCTATTAGAAAAAAAAAAGACTAGTGAGAAGATGAACACCTTGCATTAGATACTGAAAACTTTGGAGGAAAAGTAAATCTCAGATTCTAAAGCAACTGTGGAGACAGCCCCTCCTTCCTCTGGCTGACCCATAGCCTCCTCTGGGGTGAGACCTAGCCTCACTTGCCCCTGGGCTCTTGGGTCTCCCTCCTCCCATGGGGAGCTCTGAGGGGTGACACAGATCACACCTGATTCCCAAAGCTTCTGCCACTGGAACCTGCTGCGCATCATCTAAGATGCCAGAAAAATTATCCCCTGGGGCACCTGGATGGCTCAGTTGGTTAAGCGCCTGGCTCTTAATCTCAGCTCAGGTCATGATGTCAGGGTCATGAAGTTGAGCCCCACATTGGGCTCCACGCTGAGCATGGAACCTGCTTGGGATTCTCTCTTTCCCTCCCTTTCCCTCTGCCCCTCCCCCACTTGCTCATGCACACATGCTCTCTCTCCCTCTCTTAAAAAAAAAGAAAGAAAGAAAGAAAAAGAAAAAAAAAAAAGAAAAATTACCCTGTTCTTCAGCCAGTCATCCAGTATGCCTGCACACAATGTTTGCAATAGACAGAAATTCTTATAACAAGGAAATGAGAAGCTAGGGGAGGCTGCATTTACAATGAACCAGAAGCTTACTAACCGGTTTTAAATAGTCACCAAGAAATGTCAACCAAGATAAGAGAAAAGAGGCTATCTTTAGCTCAGGCACAGTGAAGAACAGACATCTGAAGACAAGGAAGTTGGTGAGGGAGACTCTATAGGGTGATGGTTCACACTATGAAATCAGACAGACTTCTGTCTCTGAAATCAGACAGAACTGAGTTCACATCCCAGCTGTGCTGCTTCTTTGCCTGCCACCTGGGACCATTTGTTTTCACTAACCATCTGTTTCCTCACCTGTAAAATGGGGGTAACTGCAGATCCTGTCTCATAGAGTGGTCACAAGGATTCAAGAAGACCCTGCTGGTGAAGCGTTTGCTCAGAGCCCTCGGTCCACTCTCAGAAGTGCTTGGTGAAGGGCCACCTGGGTGGCCCTGTTGGTTAAGCATCTGACTTCAGCTCAGTCATGATCTCAGCGTCCTGGGATTGAGCCCCACATCAGGCTCCCTGTTCATCGGGGAGTCTGTTTCTCCCTCTGCTTCTCACCCTGCTCATGCTTTCTCTCTCTCTCAAATAAACAAATAAAATCTTTAAAAAAAAGAAGGAGGAGGAGGAGGAGAAGACGACAAAGAAGAAGGGCTTGGTGAAGTCAGGGAGAAGCCAGGGCCACA